GCATACTTGTTCGCGACAATACTGTCCATTCTTGCCCTGACACTTGGCTGGAAGAGAAGAAAAAGGTGAAGAGAAAACAAGAAGAAGAAGAAGAAGAAGAAGAAGAAGAAGAAGAAGAAGAAGAAGAAGAAGAAGAAGAAGAAGAAGAAGAAGAAGAAGAAGAAGAAGAAGAAGAAGAAGAAGAAGAAGAAGAAGAAGAAGAAGAAGAAGAAGAAGAAGAAGAAGAAGAAGAAGAAGAAGAAGAAGAAGAAGAAGAAGAAGAAGAAGAAGAAGAGAAGAAGAAGAAGAAGAAGAAGAAGAAGAAGAAGAAGAAGAAGAAGAAGAAGAAGAAGAAGAAGAAGAAGAAGAAGAAGAAGAAGAAGAAGAAGAAGAAGAAGAAGAAGAAGAAGAAGAAGAAAAAAAAAGAAAGAAGAAGAAGAAGGAGGAGGAGAAGAAGAAGAAGAAGAAGAAAAAGAAAAACTATTCCTTCAGCTGTAAACCCTCAGGCTTCAATTTCCCTTCTAACACAATCACAATTGCCAAACACAAGCATCAAAGAAAATTTTTCTCTCGCCCAGTTGTTTATTTTGAAGTTGAATTGTTACTAATCGGGCCCCTAATCAACGGATTCAAGACGCCCCTGTCAAATGTTAGCCTTGACATTCCAGTGCTCAATCTCTAATATGCATTTTCTCAGACTTGTAAATTTTTTACTGTGTAGCAGCTGATTTGATTTTGAAATCGAGGAAGTTGTGGTTTAACAATTAAGCACACTAAACACATGCTAAGGGCATCAAGAAGGAAAGGGGGCAACCCCAGACATTTTCCATAGCGTTGAAAAATGCCTATAAACTCAACTTTTATAAATAATTAAACCTAAGAAATCATGCCAAAACTTGGCTTTATTACCCCAGATTTTTAAAGTTAGTTGCGCATCTTTTACAGAACGTTGCAGAACCAACCCCAGCATTTATTAGCTATTCTGGTTTTTCTAGGCAAATGTTACGTTCAGTAGTATGCCACTGGTTAATGGACTGTCAGCTCTCAGTACAACTGTTGATACCAGGACAAGACCAATCGTCCGCAGTAGGGATCGAACCCACCACTACGGCATTAGGAAGCGCCTTCGTAACACCTAAGCCACACACCCCAGTGCATACCTCAATTGTGTATTTTTGTGAGATTTACAATTTGCCGTTGACTGTGTCTCGATTGATTCGGGTTATGAGATTCCGAACAATACCTCTTCTTTCATTTTCTAGGTAAATTTATGACTGCAAGTGCTAGATTTATTCTTGAGGTCACTTATGTGCACACAATGGTCAAGTGCTAAATTTATTCTTGAGGTCAGTTCTATGCAGACAATGGTCAAGTGCTAGATTTATTCTTGAGGTCAGTTCTATTCAGACAATGGTATAGTGCTAGATTTATTCTTGAGGTCACTTATGTGCACACAATGGTCAAGTGCTAGATTTTTTTCTTGAGGTCACTTCTGAGCACAGAATGGTCTAGTGCTAGATTTATTCTAGAGGTCACTTTTGTGCACACAATGGTCTAGTGCTAGATTTATTCTAGAGGTCACTTCTGTGCACACAATTGTCTAGTGCTAGATTTATTCTTGAGAACACTTGTGTGCACAGAATGGTCTAGTGCTAGATTTATTCTTGAGACACTTATGTGCACAGAATGGTCTAGTGCTAGATTTATTCTTGAGACACTTATGTGCACACAATGGTCTAGTGCTAGATTTATTCTTGAGACACTTATGTGCACACAATGGTCTAGTGCTAGATTTATTCTTGAGACACTTATGTGCACACAATGGTCTAGTGCTAGATTTATTCTTGAGACACTTATGTGCACACAATGGTCTAGTGCTAGATTTATTCTTGAGACACTTATGTGCACACAATGGTCTAGTGCTATATTTATTCTAGAGGACACTTCTGTGCACACAATGGTCTAGTGCTAGATTTATTTTTGAGGACGTATATGTGTGTGTGTGTGTGTGTGTGTGTGCGCGCGCGCGTGTTTGTATATATATATATATATATATAATATATATATATATATATATATATATATGTATATATATATATATATTAATATACACGTTAGGGACCCTTTTCCATGTCCTCCTGCGTATTGGGCATATAGGGCTAGATACATTTAATAGACTCATCGACACTTAGTGGGTGATGTGGTTTAAATCACGCAGCCGCTGTTACTTCACCTGTTACCCATTTAGGTCGACCTTGAAGCCAAGGTCATTAAAAAAAACTAACACTTCACTTTCAAATATCTGGGTAACACACTGAGGCGGAGATAAAAGGGTGAATAAAATCACTGACAATATTTTACTAGAATGAGTATTATAATGTAAACAAAAGAAATGTTGCAAGTACAAAATAAAAATATCAGACTATTGAACAATTAGGAAAACAGAAGTGGCACCAGCTAAGCTCACATCAAGATATTAACCGCGTTGAACTGTGACTGAGAAGCTGAACAATCACTACAAAACAACAGCAACAATAACAACAACAACAACAACAAACGGAAGCTTTGTTAAGCTTCCTGCTCACTGAACAAAATATATTTGTTGAATGCTGAATTAAGAATAGAATTCACAGAACTCATGACACTCTCATAAGCACCCTGTCCCCATCTTCAGCTGAAAGCTAAGAATTCAAATTCTGATGGTACCAGTAACTGTCTGATTGTACATCCATTTCGCCCTTCCTTTCAGATCCCCTGGTAACTCCCCGCAGAGCCATTTTATGCAGACTGTAATGATCTATCTGTGCCTCCGCACTGTTCACTTACTCCTATAGGGCCCTTTCAACATCTAGCTTGTCATACATCAATTTTCCAACCGGCCAATATATCTGTCTGCTCGTTTTCCAGTACACCATGATACCTGGAGAAAGTATCCAAAGGACGCTAATTACCTGCGCCTTCTGAAGTCATGCTTGCCTTTTTGCACAGAGTATGCTTGTTTCCACCTATCTCAGCATACTCTGTGAGTCAGTTTCCATTACGACACGTGTGTACAGCTGATTCTCAGTCCAGCAAAAAGCAGCAGTAACCGCCTCTACCTCCATTCTCAAACTATGCCAGGCTCTGTTGCACTAAGCGACGTCCATTGCTTGTGTTATGACCCCCCCCCCCCCCCCCCCCCCCCCCCCCCATGCACTTCGTCTAACTCTCAACACAGAGCCATCTGTATCTACAAGGTCCGACAATTAAGTAATGAGACTGATTGTATTATGGCTAAGACAAAAATGCCCTCTATGATACACATCATGGAATCCAAAGAGACAAACTTTATGTATATGACATGGCAACTTTTCATCGCTGCCCGATAAGCAGACAACAAACAAGCCGACATTTTGTTAACCTAGTCAAAGGTGCATTGTAACGTAATCAGCATGGAGCAAAAAAGCTGACATTAAATTCTGTTTAAAACTCAGAAAAAGTGCCATTGCAACAGTTTAACTGACGCGACAAGTTTGTGGGGATTATTGTTTATCTCGTGCACAGATTTTCCGCTGGTATTCAGGATTCAAGAGTGATGTGGAAATGATTACTAATGCAACTTGACCTGGACGCCCAATTTCTGTTCGTAATGAGGAACTCGTTACAAAATTCTGAGAACGGATAAAAGAAAATCGTCGTTCGTCTCTGAGGATGATGGTAGATGAATTTGGTGTTAATACAGAGACTATTAGTAAAATTGTAGTAAGAGATTTGGGCAATAAAAAAGTTGCTTGCCGGTTTGTATTTAAAACTTTGCAATTTGTTCCTTCTTCATGACAATGCACTGGCTCAAAAGGCGTTAGTTGTACAGGAATTTGTGGCCCAAAAACAAGTGCGTGTTCTCAACCATCCACCCCTCCCTAGATTTATCTCCCTGTGATTATTTTCTATTCCCAGAAGTAAAGTTACCATTGAAAAGACGCTTCTTTGACGATATTGTTGACATCCAAGGGATCCGTAACATCGACTTTAGGAGCCATAGCAACAGAAGAACTACAGACGTCGTTCCAGTGTTTGTTAGATGGTGCCACTTGCTGTATCAATGCACAAGAGGCTTACTTTGAATAAAATGCAGGTTATATCTATTGATTTTTAAAATTGTTATGGAACTACCTAATAGTCGGACCTTGAAGATAATCACATCATCTTGGCAGGAACCATCTGTTGAATTCTGATTCTGCAGCATCGGTTGCAACCGATAGAAAAACATGTACAATGAGTAAATCTTAAAATAATGGATTGAATAGGTTTTGATTCGTTAAATAGTAAATATAAAACGACGCTATCATTGTAAATAGGATTCATAAAAAAAATAAAAAAAACTGAACTTTAACTACATAGTTACTGTAAATTTTAAAAATGGGATTCGTTAATTACTGGCTTTAAACCACATGGTTTTTGTAAATGTTTAAATATACTTGTAGTAGTAAACAAAAACCATATTATGATGTCAAAGTTAAGATAAATATTTATAATTATTGTAAATTGTAAGCCAAAGTCATATTTACAGGCGGGCGCACACATGTCAGGGTGGAGAGTTCGGTCCCATATGCCAGTACGTCAACCTAGATTACCAGAATAAATTAAAATTAGGTGCTGAAGTCGGAGGCAACCAGCCAGGAGGCTCACCGTAGAAATCAAGGAGCCTTGCACAAACGATAAAGGAAATTTATCAAGACAAAACTTTGGCCAAGAGAAACATCGGTGCCAGTCAAACTTTACGGGTCGCTGAGTGAATTACAAAAGACAGTGGAGTTTATACTAGAGACAGCATTGCAGATATAGATAATCTATTTTAAGCGAATGAAAGAAGAAAAAGAAGTAAGTTTCAACAGTTTCATTTGTTAAGATGTTACATTTAACCAAATAATTTTAATTTTAACATAGTGTCATGTGTTAAGTAGTTACATTTAACCGAATCATTTTAATTTTAACATAGTTTCATTCGTTAAGTAGTTACATTTAACCACATCATTTTAATGTTAACACAAAGTGCTGTAAACTAGTGTGGCTACAGATACGAACATGGGAACAAATAACCAGGGATGTTTGTGTAACGTCCAAGCAGAATTACATCCGTCCGTGTAGCAAATCTGTGCGCAAGTTTTATATCCTGGCTTGCTGTTAAAACATCCGGGATTTTCTGAACTTGAGCAGCTTCGAATAAACTGGTACAGCTCACCTGTAGGAACATAATTACAATTTCAAGTTCACGCCGTCAAAATACAGCAGAAAAACTGTCAAATATATGTCATTTTTCACAACCCGTGGTATTTCTGACAGATGCAAAAGCGGTGCTTCAGGCACTCAGTTCTGGAAAACTACCTGGTATATGAGCACTACTCCCCCACACTAGGCAGTTGGTGTAAGGTAACTATGCAATGGATACCATCCTACTGTGGAGTTTTCGGAAATGAAAGAGCTGATAGCTAAGCAAATACTGATACCGGAATGCGTATTGGTATGTCCTGAGTGTTGTGATGTCAGTTCTCAGTTGAACTCTCAATACAGAGAACTGAAAACCAAACGTGCGTGACTGCTTTCCCATATTCCTCATTTCCTCACACCGACATGAAGGCAAATGAGAAATAACCTGACGTACCAGTCTCATATCAGCAAAAGAAGATAATAGTCAATTCAATCAGAATGCCACCAAAATCGGCACAAGACGATTACCATTTTATGCACAGACCAGAGCAAGTTATTATAAGTTTTAGTATAGGACACAATCAACTTTGCAGCCACATAAATACACAATCTAAAATCAACGAACCAGCCATGTACACAGGTGAATTGGCACTGGAGACAACCGTTCATGTCCTCCAAGACTGTCCCAAATTCAACATATCAAGGCTAAACTTTTGGCCAAGAGAAACACCGGCGCAAGTCAAACTTTACGGCTCGCTGAGTGAATTACAAAAGACAGTGAGGTTCACATTAGAGACAACGAAAGAAGAAGAGGAATTACAATTTGTATAAACTGACACGGGAAATCTATAGAAACAGAGTTATAGTTTATAGAACATCCAGCAGCTGAAGAATGGAGGCGGAGGCAGTCTCTACAGTTTTACGCTGGTTAGAGAACACTACACACATACACATGGTTATTTTTAACTGACCCAGAAAGCATGCTGAGGAAGATCAGGACAGGCATGTTTCGTGCAGTGTGGCATGCTTTGCTTCAGAGGCTACCGGTGCGGAGCATTATCTGGATCTTTTCTTCGGAGCATACCGGTATGGCGGGAAATGGACAGGCGGACAGACTGGCTGGCTCTGTAGAACTAGGTGGAATATTAATAGGAGCCTGTCCTACTACAAGGTGAGTCCACCAGGTGGCGGATGGTGGCTTGGCCTCTAGATATAGAGGTAAGCCACGAATATATTTAATAAGTGGCCGTGGACCAAAACAGGTGATGGTCATTGAGAAGAGGAAAGTAGGACAGCTAACTCTAACAAATACCTCAAAACTCTACGACATGGCCATCGACGGGTAAGAGGCGCCATAATCTCTCCCCACTGCTGCCTTGCAGGGTAAGTCTCTTTAGACAAAGGCTATTAGGAGTCAAACCAAATACAAACCGTCGGAAGGCAAGGGGAAACCACCGCTGTATTATCCCTAGAAAATCATGCTCATAACTAATTCAGATCGCGATTTGACTGTAGATAGTCATGATCACTCACGTCAGTCGGCATAGCACCTGATGATGATGATGATGATGATGATGATGATGATGATGATGATGATGATGATGATGATGATGATGATGATGATGATGATGATGATGATGATAAGGTAGACGTGACAAGGCTTTTGCGGGAGAACGTGTACAGTTCAGAGGATCAAATGGATCACCACAGTCTGGTGAGAGTGATGCAGTGGGGTGTTACAAGGGGATACTACTGATATACGACGCTATTGATAACATTGGTACACACCGCCCAACATTCGACGTTAACAGAAGATAGGTGGTACCAGCTACGGTAGCTGGGTCATATCTGAATAAGACCTGACCTGTAAACTCTGCAGTACCCATTATTAAAACTAGCTGCCTGTTTTAAAAATGAACCAACCAAACTTGTAACTAATCCAGTGTACTTTGAAGCAACAACTAATAACAACATAAACAACAACAACAGCAACCAACCAGAACCACCACCAACCAACCAACCTCGCCTGCCTGTGGCCACCACTTACTTGTGTCCAACTTGTAGATTCTAATAGTGGAGCAGGATTTGATCACCCCACTTCCAGACTCAGTGCAGGGCTGAGGTGCAGGTGGGCTGCTCTCACAGTCAGGCTTCTTGTCGCTGCGGCATGACGAGCACATGATAGTGGCTGTTGATTGAAAACAGTTAGTTCAAACAAACTCCTAAAAGTCACCTCCTCAGCAAAGCCCAAAAACAGCAAAAAATATTTTGGTTAGACGAAACATTCATTTTCTATATCTTTCTTACGTTGACATTATTACTGTACATGCAAAAAGAACTATCAACTAGATGTCGTCAAAGCTTTTTCCGACGAATAGATGATTATGGTCTAAAAAGAATGGTTACAGCTAAGGGTAAACTAGCAATATATTTTCTTCTAATGGCAATAACTTGAAGACGTTGAGTCGGACAACTATTAGGACAGTAATGTAGATAAAGATAGGAAAACTGATAACAAATATTAAAATACGTATACAAAAGGCAAGATGAACTTTTATAGCACTAGGGAATTTGTGGAGGTCAAAGGAAATTAAAACTAGTACTATACTTAACACTTTCAATTCTAATGTCAAATCAGTAATGTTGTATGGAGCGGAAACTTGGAGACCAACTAAGGCAACTACTAACATAAACTACTAACGTTCATTAACTGGTGCCTGCTCAGAATAAAGGGAATTAAACGTATGGAAGAATCACTAATGTAGAGCTTTGGGAGAGAACTAAACAAGTTCCAGTGGACCAAGAAGTGAAGACAATAAGCTGGTTTTGGATAGGACACACATTGAGAAAACCTGAAAACAATATAACTAGAATGTCTTTCTACTGGAACCCACAGGGGCAGAAAAAAATAAAGGAAGACTAAAAGCTTATGGAGAAGGGAGCTAGAGAGTGAACTTAAAAGGAGGGGAAGGACACGGGGAGAGCTGCATGCGATGGCGAAGGACCGAACAACTTGGCGTGAGTTGGTTGAGGGCCCATGTTCTTTAGGGGTTAGAAAGGCAGAAGAAGAAGAACAAGAAGAAAAATGACCAGGCCAGGAAATCTGGTCGCCATTCTACACTCAGAGGAAAAGCCAGACGTACACATAATCGAACTATTTTTTTTCCTTGGCTGTTAAAAATGATACCAGAACGCTTATTGGTATGTCCCGAGTGTTGTGATGTCAGTTCTGAGTTGAACTCTTAATACAGAGAACTTAAAACCAAACGTGCGTGGCGGCTTTCCCATTTTCCTTATTTCCTCACATCAATATGAGGGCGTAAATGGCAATGAGCGAGCGGACTAACTGGCCAGCAGTGCACCAACACATGTGGGAGGAAGCATGGACAGAGCAGATATCATTAGTTCTGTACGGACTGGGTTAGTGAATAATGGCAAATTTCCAACACTAATACGATTGCGTGACATGGGAGTAAAGCATGGGGAAGCACATTTATGCTGCATTCGAGGCCGAGATAGGAGAGATTATAACCCACCTCTCATTAGAACCATTAGAAGAAATACCTTAGTGTGGCTGCTGCATCAGAGGACTGAGCACGCATGGGAATGCCCAGTCTGCAGAGACCTTCGTAGTGATAAGATTACATAACATTCCAACAAGCCAAGAAATGAAACCAGACATGTCCAACGTGGCTGTTCATACAGACATACTCAACATGACTGTACACAGAGACGTCCAACATGGCTGTTCACACAGACATACTCAACATGACTGTCCACATAGACACGTCCAACATGGCTGTTCACACAGACATTCACACATACATGTCCAACGTGGTTGTTCACACAAACACGCCAGACGTGACTGTCCACACAGACACGCTCAACGTTACGATTCACACACGCATGTCCAACGTGGCTGTCCACACAGAAGGTCCAACGTGACTGTTCACGCAGATATGTCCATCGTAACTGTTCACACAGACCTGTTCAACCTGACTGTCCAAACATACATATTCAACGTGGCTGTTCACACAGAGATGTCTAACGTGACTGTTCACACAGACATGCTCAACGTGACTGTTTACACAGACATGCTCAACGTGACTGTTTACACAGACATGTCTAACGTGGCTGTTCAAACAGACATGTTTAACATGACTATTCACACAGACATGTCCAACGTGACTGTTCACACACACATGTCAAGCGTGGCTGTTCACACAGAAACATCCAACGTGGCTTTTCACACAGACATGGCCAACAGGACTGTTCACATAGACATGCCAAGCGTGACTGTTTACACAGACATATCCAACGTGGCAGTTCACACAGACATATTCAACGAGACTGTTCACACAGACACGTTCAACGTGGCTGTTCACACAGACATTCCCAACGTGGTTGTCCACACAGACATATCCAACGTGACTGTTCACACAGACATGGCCAACAGGGTTGTTCACACAGACAAGTCTAACGTGGCTGTTCACACGGACATGTCTAACGTGGCTGTCCACACATAAATGTTCAACGTGGCTGTTCACACAGGCATGCCCAACGTGACTGTTCACACAGACATGCCAAGCGTGATTGTTCACAAAGACATACCAAGCGTGACTGTTCACACAGACGCATCCAACGTGGCTGTTCACACAGACATACCCAACGTGACTGTTCACACAGACATGTCCAACGTCGCTGTTCACAGAGACATGTCCAACGCGACTGTTCGCACAGACATGTCAAGCGTGGCTGTTCACACAGACATGTCCAAAGTGGCTGTTCACACAGACATCTCCAACGTGACTGTTCAAACAGACATGTCAAACGTGACTGTTCACACAGACATGTCCAACGTGGCTGTTTACACATGTATGCCCAACGTGAGTGTTCACAAAAACATGTTAAACGTGACTGTTCACACAGACGTAGATTTTTTTGTTGTTGCCCAGAAATTAAAAATAAATATTTTAGAAGTGTTTCCGTTTTCTGTTAATCCATCCTGTCAGTCAATACTGATTGTTGGCTGAATTGACGTGAAATGTTTTACCAAGTTACGATGGAGAAGTGATTGTTTCGCTACCGGACATCTTGTTTCTGCTATCATGTGCGCATTATTCACATCGTTAGGGTGTGATATATGGTTTGCGAATGCGTCTGTAATTCTGAAATACCTATTTGATGCAACAGCAGCAATTAATGATCATACAGCATTGTTTATAAATGTATATATATCCTTTCTTGATATACGGAAGTAAATCATTCAAGTTGGTTAAATAATGAAAACAAAAATGTGGAAACTGTGGAGGTGTGGTTTTATATTATTAACAAATACTCTGGACAGAAAAAAATTGTAATGAGAATGTCTGGAAGGAAACCGACTCATGAAAAGAATTGGTTGCCCGCTTAAGAAAGAGACAGTCTACATTCCTTGGTCATGTGATGCCAAAGAGAAAACTGGAGTACATCATGTCAGTAGAAATGTTGTAGAGGAGGAGAGGCAGAGGGAGTGAGAGAGAGAGAGAGAGAGAGAGAGAGAGAGTGAGAGAGAGACAGAGAGAGAGAGAGAGAGAGAGAGAGAGAGAGAGAGAGAGAGAGAGAGAGACCGTAAGAAAAGATGCTGGGCAGTTTGACATCATGGCATGGAGGATCGTCTGTGTCAGAGTTGATTGAAAGTACATGACACCAAAGGTTGTGGATAGACATGAGTGCCAACACCACACGGCATGACTTCAAGAATATATATATATAGTGACTCTTTATCTTAGCATTTAGTTCGGCTCCAATTACCAGGTCTATTGAAATGATCATAACTCGAATGTTTATTTTCAGAACTATTTTCATGCAAACGATTTATTAAAATTGTAATTAAAAAAATTTAACTTTTTTATTTCTGCTATTTCACCGAAATCTCGGAGTCCTCGAGATATGCTGAAATAGCAGAAATAAAAAAGTTAAATAGATTTAGGTTGGAGTTCGCGGGAAAGTCCAACATTATATCAATAGGGGTGGGTGGGTAGGATTAGCGCTAGGCCGTGTTTATTTCACCCTAAACTATTAGACTCTCCACGAAATTTCGGAGTCCCCGAGATTGGGCGAAATAAAAGACAAGACCCATTAATTTGTTTATGGTTATAAGTAAGGATAGTAATAAATCGCATAGTTCGTAGGTCGAGCAGATGGTGTAGGTGTGTGTGTGAGCTCGCTCGCGTGTGTATGTGTGCGTGCGTGTAAATGAAAGCTAAAACAAGGTGCCGGTTTTCCGTAGTCTCGATTGCCCAATAACAAAACAGCCCAGTATATATATATATATATATATATATATATATATATATATATATATATATATATATATATATATATGTATATACACATATAGAACAAAACAAGAACATACGTGCATACGTATAGCATAAAACAGCTCCATTTACACATATATGTCGTACAAAACAACAAAATATTTAATTATAAATACAGAGAATAAAACAGCCAATATATATATATATGTGTGTGTGTGCGTGTGTGCGTGTGTGTGTGTGTGTGTGTGTGTAGAACAAAACAGCCCCGCATCTATACATATAGAACAAAACTGTCTCATTAATGCATATCTGTATACATAGAATAAAACACGTGAAGGCAGACCGACATACAGAAAATCTTACCTTCAACTATCCTACAGAGCAAGGGAGACAAGAGAGCCAGCCACATTGTCGCCTGCAAGTACATCTCCAACAGCCTGATTATTCTTGATTCACCTTGAGTTCTTCCTGCCTATTACACCAAATCAGTTTAGCTGGAATTACACAGGCTGGATCACGTCCTATAACTTCTTCTTCTTCTTCTTCTTCTTCTTCCTTCTTCCTTCTTCTTCTTCTTTTTCTTCTTCTTCTTCTTCTTCTTCTTCTTCTTCTTCTTCTTCTTCTTCTTCTTTTTCTTCTTCTTCTTCTTCTTCTTCTTCTTCTTCTTCTTCTTCTTCTTCTTCTTCTTCTTCTTCTTCTTCTTCTTCTTCTTCTTCTTCTCCTTCTTTTTCGTTCTCCGACTGTAAACTCCGGCACCACAGTTATGGTTGTTCGTCCCCTTCTGTACTCTAGTCCTGTTCCCGAAGCTGAGCGTTGCGTGTACATCTGTTTTACGGGTTTGCGTTATTTGCGTGCAGACTGTCGGTTCCTTGCCTCTG